AATCGGTTCAAGGATCTGTCATATTAACCGTCAATCAAGATATCCAGTTTGAGCAGTATCTGTAACATGGGCACTAGTGAAGAGGCCAAGGCTGTGAAGTCTGAAAAACCATCTTCACCAACGCAGGTATGGTGATTAGTGATTATTTGAGGCCAAGGCTGTGAAGTCTGAAAAACCATCTTCACCAACGCAGGTATGGTGATTAGTGATTATTTCCCTGAAAGAGTGTGAGGTTTACCTGTTCTGAGTTGTCTGTGAAAGCTACCAGATTTACTTTTTGGCAAATAATTTAATTATTTAAGCTGAACTAGTTCCTCTCTGTACATTGACAGGATCAGAACAATTTGGCAAATAATTTAATTATTTAAGCTGAACTAGTTCCTCTCTGTACATTGACAGGATCAGAACAATGGGTCAAATTCGGCCAGTATTCATGTTTTTCCTGATTGGGCAGCCATGCAGGTTCGCTTAGTCTGCTCCGATCCTGATATCAAATTGTTTCAAACAGTCATTAAACATGTTGTTTCGTAAGTTATGGTGACTAGATTGTTATGGCTAATTGAAGGGAGTTGCTACCTTTTCAGGCATATTATGGTCCTAGAGTTGCAGTTCCACCATACTACAACTCTGCTGTGGCTTCAGGTCATGCTCCTCACCCTTATATGTGGGGCCCACCACAGGTAGTTCTTGACTATTGAACAGTTTCAATGATGATGTGTTTTCCATCAAGTTATACCTCAGGGAAAGGACTGTGTTTGACTGAAAGTTTCTTGCTAATCCATTTTTCCAGATGATTCCTCCATATGGCACTCCCTATGCAGCAATCTATTCTCATGGAGGTGTTTATGCACATCCTGCAGTTTCTATGGTAAGCTTGTAATTTTTTATTGTGAAGATGAAACACTTCTTTTTCCCGAGTATTTCCGGACTAATTATAAGATGATAATATTAAATGTAGGGACCACATTCACATGGCCCTGGTGTTCCCTCATCACCTGCTGTAAGTGAAATCTTCATTCTGGAATTTAATTCAGTTGTACGAATCGTATAATTTAAATTTGTTAATATTATGAAAAAAGTTTTAAATGGAGGTGATAGAATGTACTAGCTCTCTGAGAAAAAATATTAATAAAAAGTAAATTGGTGTTTATTGCAGCCTGCTGCAAATCCTTTGAGCATTGAAGCACCTTCAAAGGTTTCTGGAAACAGTAGTCAAGGTTTAATGAAGAAACTGAAAGGTTTCGACGGCCTGGCAATGTCTATCGGCAATGTTAATACTGAGAGTGCTGATGAAGAAACTGAAAGGTTTCGACGGCCTGGCAATGTCTATCGGCAATGTTAATACTGAGAGTGCTGACGGGCCCAGTGAGCACGGACAATCAGAGAGGTTAACCAAATTTATCTAATTATCATCTTCTATAAATATTTTTTTTAAAAAAATATGTCCCCATTTTTTCTGACTGTCATGTTTATCTCATGGCTCACATAAATATTTTTTTTAAAAAAATATGTCCCCATTTTTTCTGACTGTCATGTTTATCTCATGGCTCACCTAACTTGTAAATTCTTTCTGTCATGTTAACAGTATGGAAACTGAAGGTTCCAGTGATGGAAGTGATGGAACTACTGCTGGGGTAAGGTTCCGTAGCTCGAGAATATTTATTGGTTCATCTAACATCTTTTAAGCTTTATCATTAATTGCTTGATCGTTAAGAATTGCAATTCAAAATCTTGATTTCTTTTATATCCTAATATGTTCAGGCAAATCAAACCAAAAGGAAAAGAAGCCGTGAGGGCACACCTACCACTGGTATTACTCCACTACCTAATATTTTCCTTTCATAACATATGGTGTTGCACCAATGATCTATACACTGGTATTACTCCACTACCTAATATTTTCCTTTCATAACATATGGTGTTGCACCAATGATCTATACCTCACTTCTTGATTAAACCCCTTTTTTTGGTGTATGGAGTTAACCATTTACATCAACGTTAATGTTATGTCCATCTTAGAGATGTTACAGTAATAGGTATTATGAATTCCATGAACAGCCAACCTCTTCTGAATTATAGACTTGAAGTTAAATAAATCCTCGTAGTTGATCAAAAAAATAAAGTTAGTATGATGTTACGCTAACCTTTGAATTAATCAATAAATCCTCGTAGTTGATCAAAAAAATAAAGTTAGTATGATGTTACGCTAACCTTTGAATTAATCACTTGCAGATTCATAATTTCTTAAGAGTCTGATAATTTTCATGATTATGCTGACTATGCATCATTCAATTATAGCTTCGGATGCTTTATATATTTTATGTATAAGATCTTGATTTCCTCAGCCTTTCATATCGCAGGTAAAGATGCAAAAATTGAGACACAAGGAAGTCCAGTTACTCCTGCTGAAATGAACGAAAGCTCTAGCAAGTTATTGGGTATAATCAAAGCAGCTGATGCAACTGGAAAGCTTGGATCTGTGATTTCTCCTGGAATGTCTACAGCTCTGGAACTTAGGAATCCTTCTAGTATGAACACCATTTCAGGTCCAACGAGCTTCCCACCTTGTTCGGTATTGCCTTCTGAAGTCTGGCTTCAGGTATACAATTGGAAACGACTCTCTTCCTAATAAATCTTGGGTTATTTCTTCTGAAGTCTGGCTTCAGGTATACAATTGGAAACGACTCTCTTCCTAATAAATCTTGGGTTATTTCACTTTAATTATGCATGATCTTATTTGTACATTGCTTAATTAATGCCTCTTCATATTCTGCCTGCCCAGAATGAAAAAGAACTAAAACGGGAAAGGAGAAAACAGTCGAATAGAGAATCCGCTAGGAGCTGCCCAGAATGAAAAAGAACTAAAACGGGAAAGGAGAAAACAGTCGAATAGAGAATCCGCTAGGAGGTCGAGGTTAAGGAAGCAGGTAGAAGAGTGAAACTGAGAGAAACGTTTCATTTTCTAATATTGAATTAGAAAGTCGTCAGCCTCATAGCTAATGTACTTTCTTGGTGTTAAATTTCATTTTCTAATATTGAATTAGAAAGTCGTCAGCCTCATAGCTAATGTACTTTCTTGGTGTTAAAATCTTCAGGCTGAGACTGAAGAACTAGCTCATAAAGTCGATTCACTGACTGCGGAGAACGTCGCTATTAGATCTGAAATAAGTAGATTGTCGGAGAATTCCGAGAAACTTAAGCAAGAAAACGCTACATTGATGGTGCGCTGCTGCCCTCTTCGATGTACTCTTTTAGTTTTTCCCCACAAGAATCAATCTATAAATTTCTAACAACATAAAATGCCTTCAAACTTGACAGGAGAAGCTTAAAAGCGCTCAATCAGGTCGAACAGAAGCATTAGACATGAACGAAAAAAGGACAAAACATCTTGTAAGCACAGACATCAAAGGACCTGTGAACAAAAGCATCAACGAAGAGAGTAACATCTGCAAGAAGAAATCGAGTTCGGGAGCAAAGTTGCGTCAACTCTTGGACACGAATCCAAGGGCCGACTGCGTTGCCGCCAGCTAAAAGAACAAGTTTAGGTGCAGTTTCTTTTTCATGTGGTTTTGGCATATTACAAGCCCAAAATTACTGCTAACAAAAATTACTAAGAATGAAAACAGCTGAATAGGATGTGTCTGTGAGAAAGGGCAGACTCTAATTTTAATGGTTAGTTTGTTGAATAGTTGTATGATTATGTGTAACTATAATGAGTATTGGGGTTGGCAACTGTTGGAGATTTTTTAGAATTTTAGCTTTAGATCTCTATGCGCACCTCGTACCAGATGATATCTCATCATTTGGTGGGTAGAGGTTGAGCCCTTTTATGAATTGTCAATGAAAAATTGCATCTATTTTTGGTTGCTGCTTTGTATGAATGAATTTAGGCTGCTCGGACTTTGCGTTTTCAAGTTCGTTATCCTAATTGTTTCCTCCGTTCTACGGGGAGTCTGATCCCTTTCATGTTATCTACAGTTTTTTTTTTTCTTGGCCATTTACAGATCTAGCCGCCCATGCAAGTTTCTCATATGGGTTGATTCAGCTACCCATGCAAGTTTCTCAATCGATTTTCTTTTTCATAAATATGAATATATATATATATAAACTGAGAATCTTGTGAATTGTGAATTTGAAACACTTGTCAGAATCAACCACCACTCGTGAGAAGGATCCCAAATATCTCACTAGTCCAAAAAAAAAAAAGAGTGCCACACTCGGGAGGGATTGCTGGTAATATACTTAGGAAGGTAGAGATGACATCAAATCTACATTGCCCTTATGGGTTGGCCACACATGTGCTACAATGACAATTAGAATGGGAAGCAAGGTTGTTAGGCGGAGCGAATAGAATACACAAAGATTACCTTAGTTTGGATGGTTCTTTGCAACTCGAGAACATGAAGTTGGAATTGTTAGTAATGTGGATCAGCATGCCACAATGAATATGTACCAGAGCCCTGTACACATCGCCCCTCACACTTTGGAAATGAGTTTTGCCTGAAGCATTAGACCAATCATCACCTATGACTTCCATGTAACACTAGTGTCACAAACGCTTTTGATGATCTTATTGTCGCATACGATGGTGGTGGGTCTTCAATTGGGTGAAGCCGTAGCTTTTTTGTTTTTTTAACCGGACTCATGGAATGAATTTCGTTCATCAACTCCAGCTGTCCTAAAATAAATAAATAAATAAAATACCTTATCAAATTACCCATAATCAACTTTTTGAGAAACCCTAAATTTATGCTTCTTTTTATATTTTCTCAAGCTTTTAACATAATTAGTGATGATACCTTCTTCTAGAAAAAAAAAAAAAAAAAATTAGTATTCAATAAATTTTATTTTTAAATATTAAAAAATTAATCATTTTGGTAATTTCAATCAAAATTATTATAGTTAAGCTTGGGATTAAAAGGCAACTTAACTTACCCTAATTTTTTTTTTTTTTTGTTGAGTTGAGTGGTTGGGTTTATATATATATATATCTTTCTTGGTGTTAAATCTTCAGGCTGAGACTGAAGAACTAGCTCATAAAGTCGATTCACTGACTGCGGAGAACGTCGCTATTAGATCTGAAATAAGTAGATTGTCGGAGAATTCCGAGAAACTTAAGCAAGAAAACGCTACATTGATGGTGCGCTGCTGCCCTCTTCGATGTACTCTTTTAGTTTTTCCCCACAAGAATCAATCTATAAATTTCTAACAACATAAAATGCCTTCAAACTTGACAGGAGAAGCTTAAAAGCGCTCAATCAGGTCGAACAGAAGCATTAGACATGAACGAAAAAAGGACAAAACATCTTGTAAGCACAGACATCAAAGGACCTGTGAACAAAAGCATCAACGAAGAGAGTAACATCTGCAAGAAGAAATCGAGTTCGGGAGCAAAGTTGCGTCAACTCTTGGACACGAATCCAAGGGCCGACTGCGTTGCCGCCAGCTAAAAGAACAAGTTTAGGTGCAGTTTCTTTTTCATGTGGTTTTGGCATATTACAAGCCCAAAATTACTGCTAACAAAAATTACTAAGAATGAAAACAGCTGAATAGGATGTGTCTGTGAGAAAGGGCAGACTCTAATTTTAATGGTTAGTTTGTTGAATAGTTGTATGATTATGTGTAACTATAATGAGTATTGGGGTTGGCAACTGTTGGAGATTTTTTAGAATTTTAGCTTTAGATCTCTATGCGCACCTCGTACCAGATGATATCTCATCATTTGGTGGGTAGAGGTTGAGCCCTTTTATGAATTGTCAATGAAAAATTGCATCTATTTTTGGTTGCTGCTTTGTATGAATGAATTTAGGCTGCTCGGACTTTGCGTTTAAAAATTGCATCTATTTTTGGTTGCTGCTTTGTATGAATGAATTTAGGCTGCTCGGACTTTGCGTTTTCAAGTTCGTTATCCTAATTGTTTCCTCCGTTCTACGGGGAGTCTGATCCCTTTCATGTTATCTACAGTTTTTTTTTTTCTTGGCCATTTACAGATCTAGCCGCCCATGCAAGTTTCTCATATGGGTTGATTCAGCTACCCATGCAAGTTTCTCAATCGATTTTCTTTTTCATAAATATGAATATATATATATATAAACTGAGAATCTTGTGAATTGTGAATTTGAAACACTTGTCAGAATCAACCACCACTCGTGAGAAGGATCCCAAATATCTCACTAGTCCAAAAAAAAAAAAGAGTGCCACACTCGGGAGGGATTGCTGGTAATATACTTAGGAAGGTAGAGATGACATCAAATCTACATTGCCCTTATGGGTTGGCCACACATGTGCTACAATGACAATTAGAATGGGAAGCAAGGTTGTTAGGCGGAGCGAATAGAATACACAAAGATTACCTTAGTTTGGATGGTTCTTTGCAACTCGAGAACATGAAGTTGGAATTGTTAGTAATGTGGATCAGCATGCCACAATGAATATGTACCAAGCCCTGTACACATCGCCCCTCACACTTTGGAAATGAGTTTTGCCTGAAGCATTAGACCAATCATCACCTATGACTTCCATGTAACACTAGTGTCACAAACGCTTTTGATGATCTTATTGTCGCATACGATGGTGGTGGGTCTTCAATTGGGTGAAGCCGTAGCTTTTTTGTTTTTTTAACCGGACTCATGGAATGAATTTCGTTCATCAACTCCAGCTGTCCTAAAATAAATAAATAAATAAAATACCTTATCAAATTACCCATAATCAACTTTTTGAGAAACCCTAAATTTATGCTTCTTTTTATATTTTCTCAAGCTTTTAACATAATTAGTGATGATACCTTCTTCTAGAAAAAAAAAAAAAAAAAATTAGTATTCAATAAATTTTATTTTTAAATATTAAAAAATTAATCATTTTGGTAATTTCAATCAAAATTATTATAGTTAAGCTTGGGATTAAAAGGCAACTTAACTTACCCTAATTTTTTTTTTTTTTTGTTGAGTTGAGTGGTTGGGTTTATATATATATATATATATATACTTTTTTTTTTTTAATTATTAAGTATGGTTGGAAGAGAGTTGACAGAATGATCATGAGTTTATAAGTAAAGAATGCATCTCCATGCTAAGAGACCTTTTGGGAATCCCAGAACAAAGCGATAAACTTATGCTCGAAGTGAACAATATTATATCATTGAGGAAATTTGTGATTTCTAACAAAATATTAGTCAGATGCATAATGCATCACTAAATTTGGTTACAAATACCAAATATTTTTAATTTTGACAATAATATTAAAAGTATGGCGGGATTTGATTGATTTATAACTTATTTTCTAGTTGACTCAACAAAAAAAAATGTCAACCGGCTGAAGTGATAATAATTGTAAAAATTAAAGAGTATTAATGCTTACATTTGTTTTTATCGTGATATTAATGATTTTATCTATATTATTAAGATTAAAATATTTAAAAAGAAAATTATTTTAAAAATATTTTTTATACAAAATATAAAAAGTTTAAAGATATTTAAATAATTTAGTTTCACAAAAAACACTCTTATTATTTAAAAATAATAATAATAATAAAAAAAAAAAACAATATTACTCTCAACCTTTATTTAACATTTTAGCAGCCGGATTGGAACAGGAAATCGGTGCATTACCATGATAACACCGAACTGATTGAACATTTCAGATGCCAGGATTCAACAAGAAAAACCCTACAAAAATCTACCTCAGTTAGTTCATCAGGTGGGTCATTACAATTTTTTTGAACAGTTGATTTTGATCATTCAAATCACTACCTTAAATGTTCTAAGAATTTCCTCTCAAAATCTTTAAACAAGAACAGAAAAAGCAAACCCTGTTTGGAATCCGAGAAAATTTTTCTGGAAATTTCAAGTAATGTAATAAATTTTGAAGAAAACAATAAGCATACATGTTGTGTTAGTTCTGTGGATTATAGCTTAGAGTGGAGGGAATCTTAAGATTTGCTTTATTCTTTTTTATTTGATTTTTGTAAGAAAGAAAAGGAAACATGTTATGGTGTCTTATCCGCTACTTTCTTCGAGACCTCGCGGTCATTATAATCTCCATTTTTGTATGCCTCTCTTTAAAAGTAATGCAGAAGAACAAAACCCGCAAAAAAATTGATTTAAATTTCAGAGAGCCTGGAAAAGAGTACACAAAAAGGTATGTATGTTCTAGATCTATGCAAGTTTTTTAAAAAATTGCTGTTCTTATCCGCCATTTCATCCACATTTTACTTTTGACGAAATCCCATGGACTCTGTTCTTGATGGGTCGTATTGATTTCTGGGTTTTTGAGATGAAATTCACTTGGATTCACTGGGTTCGCCTGAAATTTCTGTTGTTCGAAGGATTTCTTGCTGGAATTTGATTAGAAGGCTTTTCAATGTTATGATTTTGAATTCATTTTATGAGGGCTTTGGCGAACATTCAAAGAATGTTTTTCCTTTTCAATGTTATGATTTTGAATTCATTTTATGAGGGCTTTGGCGAACATTCAAAGAATGTTTTTCATTGGCCACAAAAAATGGAAATACAATGGACCATTTTGTTTATATCTTCCCAGTTCGACAGTTTCTCTGATATATATATTTATATATATATACAGGATTTGAAACGGTCGAGATTATTCATTCATTCTGTATCGATTCGCATTGCGCCAAATTTCCGCCTCCTGGATTGGTTCATAATGCGAAACGGTTAGATTAAGCGATAATCTGGTTTTTCTTTTGCAGTTTTGTAGATCTTCGTTCTTCAGCTTCGCAAATCAATTAGGTTTTCGTAACCCTTCTCTTAGTTTTTGATTTCCGCGAGAACTTTTACGAAGGGATTTGAGAGAAAATCATGGGGCATTCGGCGCCGGTTTGGGATTGCAGAGCCGCGATTGAGATTACGAAGGATTGGAACGGCATTGATCAAGTTGTTCTTAGAAATCCCAAAGGAGCTTCCGCTAGGGTTAGTTTAAATCTTCCATTTTCATCGCGTTTGAACAAGAATTGACAATGCTGATTATATATAATCTTCTTTCAATCCACACTTTTCTATTTCGTTGTGTTCTTGGGGTTGGATGATCGATTGAAGAATCTCTTGTTCTTGATGGGTTTTCGTTTTGTTTCTGATTATAATCTTCTTTCGATCGACACTTGTCCATTTCTTGTTCTTGATGGGTTTTCGTTTTGTTTCTGATTATAATCTTCTTTCGATCGACACTTGTCCATTTCATTGTGTTCTTGCGGTTGAATGATCGATTGAATCTCTTGTTCTGGATCGGTTTCTGTTTTGATTCTGATTATGTAGATTAGTTTACATGGAGGACAAGTTTGTTCATGGAGAAACGATCAAGGGGAAGATTCTGATTATGTAGATTAGTTTACATGGAGGACAAGTTTGTTCATGGAGAAACGATCAAGGGGAAGAACTTCTCTTCACAAGTAGTAAGGTACTGATTTCATAGAACTGGCTGGAGTTTTTGAATTTGATTCAAAAAATGGAATGTTTATGCGAAGAAATTGAGTATCAGTTCATACATGAATGGTGTAGGCAATCTTTAAGCCAGCAAAAGCTATGAGGGGAGGAATTCCAATATGTTTCCCACAGGTTTATAGGATTATCTTGTTCATCTCCAAATCTCTACAACAATCTTCATTCATTCCTGATATTATTAACCAAAATTCTTGTAGTTTGGGAACTGTGGAACACCAGAGCAGCATGGGTTTGTCAAGAACAAGATCTGGACAATCGATGAAAATCCACCGTTATACATGGCTGACCTCGACGGGGCGTCCTCCTTCGTCGATTTACTATATAGATCTTCAGAAGAGGATTTGAAATGTTGGCCCTATAGGTAAACTAGATGATGTTCTTAGTTTGAACCTTTTAAGATCTTGAAGAATGTAAAAGTCTTTGACATTGGTAAATTCCTGTCAGTTTTGAGCTTCGGCTTCGGGTGTCTCTACGATACGACGGAGACCTGATTTTGAGGTCTAGAGTTAGGAATATCAATGGAAAACCATTTGCATTCTCATTTGCCTATCATACACACTTGGTGGTTTCGGACATAAGGTATTATCTTCTAGAGTCTCATCGTTCGTTTTGTTTGATCTGTATGTTCGTAAATTCAGATTCTTATACATGTTTAAATGAAGCGAGGTGCGAATCGAAGGCTTGGAAACGCTCGACTTCTTGGACAATCTATGTCACAAGGAGCGGTTTACAGAACAAGGAGATGCCATAACCTTTGAATCTGAGGTAACTTGTTCTATGTCACAAGGAGCGGTTTACAGAACAAGGAGATGCCATAACCTTTGAATCTGAGGTAACTTGTTCTTTATAGTTAGGTTCATTACATTTCTTGGGGTATCAAAGCTGTTAGTAACATAATACTCGAGGGTTGTCGATTGGTAGGTCGATCGAGTGTATTTGAATACTCCGAATGCAATTGCCATACTTGATCATGGTTGTCGATTGGTAGGTCGATCGAGTGTATTTGAATACTCCGAATGCAATTGCCATACTTGATCATGAAAGGAAGCGGACTTACGTGATCCGAAAGGAAGGATTACCGGATGTTGGTAAGATTTAGAACGTGTAGATGCAGGTATACATGTTCGAAAATATTGCATTAGGGGCTTGGCATTTAGTGTTTTCGTTTTGTGTAGATGCAGGTATACATGTTCGAAAATATTGCATTAGGGGCTTGGCATTTAGTGTTTTCGTTTTTGTGTATGGTAGTTGTTTGGAATCCGTGGGAGAAGAAGTCGAAAGCAATGGTGGATTTCGGGGACGAGGAATATAAACAGATGGTGTGCGTTAACGGAGCGGCATTGGAGAGACCGATCATGTTTCGGGGACGAGGAATATAAACAGATGGTGTGCGTTAACGGAGCGGCATTGGAGAGACCGATCATGTTGAAGCCTGGTGAGGAATGGAGAGGGAAGATGAAACTCACTGTTGTTCCCTCGAGTTTCTCTCTCGACTTGTAGAGGAGATGGAACCGAGACGGGGGACGAGACAGCACGGGCAGACTACTTTTTTAATGTGGGTGATGCTGTGCTGTGTTGAAAAAACGGGGGACGAGACAGCACGGGCAGACTACTTTTTTAATGTGGGTGATGCTGTGCTGTGTTGAAAAAATAAAGATCCTTGTAGTAGAAATTGATGAAATTAGGAAGGATGTTGGGCTATATCGTTGCAAGCCACTCGTGATGTTTTTTAAGGAGTGGCTTGGCTGCATTTCCCCCACTTAACGAACTATCTTGCAAGCCACTCGTGATGTTTTTTAAGGAGTGGCTTGGCTGCATTTCCCCCACTTAACGAACTATCTTCTTGTTTTTAGAGGAAGAAAGGGTGAATTCATTGTTTTGATGATTTCTTAATTTCTTTGTTGTTTGGAATGTTTTTAGAGGAAGAAAGGGTGAATTCATTGTTTTGATGATTTCTTAATTTCTTTGTTGTTTGGAATTAATATTATTTGAAATTTTGTACAATTTATATGAACCTACTTAAGAGTCGATTAATAAATTTTGAATTCAAACTCGAGGAGGAAGTGGTGCGTAATAATTTTATATTGAAACGGTTGAGACTCGAGGTCTCATCCACTTTCCTTTCCATTCCATATTCTAAAGTCAGGGAGGGCAGGGCCCTTCCCATAGTCGAGGTAGACGTTTATGTGTCTGTGTGTAAGAGGAGCTTTGTGTCAAGGTCATGCTCGTCTAAGGTGTGTTGCTCATAGTCGCATGTCCATAACAAGCCAAACCCTTTATGCACTTTTGTATTTCTAAGAAGTATGATGTTTCAGAAATATCATTATCATGTCTATGCCTGCCAGACATGAAATGCTTCTATGTCGTTGTTACTCTCTTGCTTACTTATATAACGCGGAGGCCAAAGGCTTGAGCATACGTCGCTTGGCCGTAGGCGACGCAAGAACGATTGGGTTAGCATTTGTTGTTGGAAAGTAAGTGCCGCACAATCGCAAGTCTGCTGCCATCAAGAGTGCAATTGTGACACTTTGATTGGAAATTTCTCATTGTGTAAGAGGAGCTTTGATCGGAAATTTCTATAATGGAATAGAGAGTGAGGATAGATTTTTTAGAGTCAGTTTTTGACATTTTAGATAATAGTCATTTCCGGCGTGATCACGATACCTATTTTGAAGAAATTAAAGGAAATAATACGTCATACGTAGGGTCCGCCAGTAAACTTCAGAAACGTTAAAAAGAAAAAAGAGATGATAACAAAAAATTATATAAGCAGAAGCCACTCTAATTTATCAGAGCCAGGTTTCGATCCTGGGACCTGTGGTTTATGGGCCCACCACGCTTCCGCTGTGCCACTCTGATTTGTTGATACACTAATTTCCATTTAATTTATTAATAATTACTTTAGATAACTTTGAGTTTTTTCTAAAACATACTATGAACTCTTAAAAGTTATCACAATTTAATCAAACAATTAAGCTTCAAATTAAAATTTAAAACCAATGAAAAAGAAAGTTATTGGGCCGTTTTTAGATGGGCCTCTTTAACTTTGTGAGCTCCAATATGGGCTTTACTCAGCAAATTTGGGCCCAAAATTTACTCTTTGAAATCCTCTTCTTCGTTTCCCTCGGGCGAATCATAAACCCTAAACTTCACTCGAACAGAATTCCGATGCCTTGAGGTTTGACGTTGTAAGCGACTCATCTAGGAAGCACGCCATCGGCGTTTCGACGTAATCTTATAATCCATGGCTCACATTTCTTTATCTAAGCCTCACTACCGCCGCATCCGGGTTCTTTCCAGTTCTTCAATTTCGTGCCCAACCGCCCTCAATTCGCTTAATTTCTTCAGCTCTACTCAAGAACTGATCTCCACAGCTACTCAAAATCAAAGCCCCAATGATCAATCCTCCAGTTCCGATGCTGCAGTGGCTGTTGATGTCGACGTGCAAGTTAAACGAACAACCCCTAGAGGTAAGCATCGAAACCCAGAAAAAATAGAGGATATTATTTGTAGAATGATGGCAAATCGTGAATGGACAACTCGTTTACAGAACTCCATTCGGTCGTTGGTTCCTCAATTTGATCACTCCCTTGTTTGGAATGTGTTGCATGCTACTAAGAACTCGGATCATGCGCTCAAGTTCTTCCGGTGGGTAGAGCGAGCCGGCTTATTCCGGCATGATCGCGATACCCATTTGAAAATAATTGAGATTCTTGGTCGAGCTTCGAAGCTTAACCATGCCCGTTGCATTCTTCTTGATATGCCCAATAAGGGTGTTGAATGGGATGAAGATTTATTTGTTGTATTGATTGATAGTTATGGTAAAGCTGAGATAGTTCAGGAAGCTGTGAAAATATTTCAAAAGATGAAGGAATTGGGCGTTGAGAGAAGTGTTAAATCTTATGATGCTTTGTTTAAGGTAATTTTGAGGAGAGGGAGGTATATGATGGCGAAGAGGTACTTCAATGCTATGTTGAATGAAGGAATTGAGCCGACTCGACATACCTATAATTTGATGCTTTGGGGTTTCTTTTTGTCGTCGAGGCTCGAGACAGCCAAGAGATTTTATGAAGACATGAAGAGTAGAGGTATATCGCCCGATGTCGTTACGTATAACACTATGATTAACGGGTATTATCGATTCAAGATGATGGAGGAGGCTGAGCAATTCTTTACTGAGATGAAGGGGAAGAATATCGTACCGACAGTGATAAGCTATACTACTATGATAAAAGGTTACGTTTCGGTTGGTCGGGAAGAATATCGTACCGACAGTGATAAGCTATACTACTATGATAAAAGGTTACGTTTCGGTTGGTCAAGTTGATGATGGATTGAGATTGTTTGAAGAGATGAAGGCTGTTGGTGTGAAGCCAAATGGTATTACTTATTCAACTCTGCTCCCTGGTCTGTGCGATGCAGAGAAAATGTCGGAAGCGCGACAAATTTTGACAGAAATGGCGAGCAAGTATATTTCTCCAAAGGATAGTTCCATTTTCGGAAGCGCGACAAATTTTGACAGAAATGGCGAGCAAGTATATTTCTCCAAAGGATAGTTCCATTTTCATGAGATTGTTATCTTGCCAATGCAAACATGGTGATTTGGATGCTGCTATGCACGTTCTGAAAGTGATGATTCGATTAAGCATTCCAACAGAGGCTGGACATTATGGTATTTTGATCGAGAACTGTTGCAAAGCTGAAATGTACAATCGAGCTGTTAAATTACTCGACAATCTTGTAGAAAAGGAAATCATATTGAGGCCACAAAGTAGTCTTGAAATCGAGCCTAGTGCTTATAACCCTATTATTCAGTATCTGTGCAACAATGGACAGACTGGAAAGGCTGAAACCTTTTTCCGGCAGTTGTTGAAGAAGGGTATTCAAGATGAGGTTGCGTTTAATAATTTGATTTGTGGCCATTCCAAAGAAGGTAATCCTGAATTAGCATATGAAATGTTGAAAATCATGGGTAGGAGAGGCGTGTCGAGGGATGCCGAGTCTTTTAAGTTGCTTATCGAGAGCTACTTGAGTAAAGGCGAACCAGCTGATGCGAAAACAGCTTTGGATAGCATGATTGAATGTGGGCACTATCCCCATTCGGCATTGTTTAGATCAGTGATGGAAAGTCTATTTGCAGACGGGAGGGTGCAGACCGCGAGCCGAGTAATGAATAGTATGTTGGATAAACGAATAACCGAAAACTTAGACTTAGTTGCTAAAATCTTAGAAGCCCTTTTCATGAGAGGGCACGTCGAGGAAGCATTAGGACGAATCGATTTGCTAATGAGCTGCCACTGCCCGCCTGATTTCAATAGTCTTTTATCTGTTCTTTGTGAAAAGGGGAAAACCATTGCAGCTCTCAAGCTTTTAGATTTCGGGTTGGAAAGGGAATGTAAGATAGAGTTCTCGAGTTATGAGAAAGTACTTGACGCGCTTTTGGGGGCGGGGAAGACATTGAACGCATACTCGATTCTATGCAAGATCATGGAGAAGGGAGGAGGAGGAGGGGCCAAGGATTGGAGTAGCTGTGATGATCTGATCAAAAGGCTGAATCAGGAAGGGAACACAAAGCAAGCTGATATTCTCTCAAGAATGATCAATGGTGGAGGAGACAGAAAGGGAAGTAAGATATCTTGTGTTGCTGTTTGATGCAATATAACTCAAATTTTGGAGGGTAACCCAAGTGAGGGCAGCGGGCGGGTGGGCGGCGCTTTGATGCAATATAACTCAAATTTTGGAGGGTAACCCAAGTGAGGGCAGCGGGCGGGTGGGCGGCGCGGCGGTCGCTGGTGCAATGCCGCTCCGTTCAGGTCATGTAAGCCTTGACCTCTGCTTTCACCATTGCTTTATTTCAATGAATCTCAAGCTATTACCCATCTCTTGCTATGAAATTTGGCTGGACCTATGTTTTGTTCTAAGCTTTGGATCTCAAGCTATTACCCATCTCTTGCTATGAAATTTGGCTGGACCTATGTTTTGTTCTAAGCTTTGGTATCTCTAGCCATTGGTGTTCATAATTGTTTGAATAATATGATTCTGTTGCCAGAAATGCTCACCAGTTCCCACTAAAATGGGTTCAAGTGATTCTTAGTACAATATATTATGTTGAGCATTATTTAACACTATTTTATTCATAAAATTGTTGTGTATTATTGTAATTTTAGTCTAAATTAATAAAAATACCGTTAAATTCGTACTTTGTCGTATAAATATTTATAAACTTTCAAATTTTTTTAATAATACTCTTAAATTTTGAAAAGTTTCGAAAAGTTCGAAATTACCAATTACCTCGAAGTTTTATTAAGGTCTTTAAACTTTTAAAAAAATATATTTCATTAATTTCCATTATTTTTTAAAAATGTTAAAAAAAAAATCATATTAATAGAGAATTCAAAAATATTTTGATAATTCAATCTACGGACTTCATATTTTTGTTAATCAAATAATTTTTAATTTAAAATGTGGAGTACTTATAATTATTTTTCTAAAATTTAGAGATTAAAATATTCTTTTTGAAACTTCTAAATTAATAAAATCTTTAAATTAAAAAAAAATAAATTTTAGAAAAAAATTAAAAAATACATTTACCATTTTGTTTGAAACATTTTTTAAAGAATTTAAAAATAGTACTAAATTGAATGAAAATTTGAAGTGAGGATTTTATTTAGGGTTGTGAAGCTGTCAGCTATGAAAAAGTTGTACAGGCTAGGTCCTACGAAACTTGCCAGTAAGGCATTCAAATTTCACATCTCCCAATTAATAACACACGTCTTCATTTATATTTTTTAACATGCTCACAAACTTTTTTAAAACAATTTTCAAAAACACTCTTAAAAAATATATATATCAATCCCTTCAACTTTTAAATTAGCCGACCTGAGACTCACTCTCAACAATCCTCAACACCTGTATATAGCATTATTTAGTTTACTTTAAAAATGATATTTTGTAAAATACCAAACAAATAACAACATACATAAATATGTCAAAAAAAAAAAAAAAAAAAAACTAAAACAATACATAAAAGGTAAAATCATTTTGTCGGTTTAACTCATGTTCGTATCATAAAAAATTTAGTTTGGGTAACAATGTCGATATGGATTTATCTCTAGTTATAGATCGAGACATTTTTAAATTTAAATAACAAATTCAAGACATCTAATCATAATTTTTTTTAATTAGAATGGGAATTATCGGTTCAAATTTTTGTTTTTATTACCTTAGTTTATAAATTATTTATTATGAAAAGATTTCATGAATAAAATCAAACAATCCAAATTTAAAATGGAATGTATTTAAAAGTTGCAGATTTTTGTGTAATTACATTTTTAACCTTTACTTAAATGAATGAATCAAATTATAATTTAGTGTATTTACCAATTTTTTTCAATATTTTATTTAATAATTTTACGATATTTGAAATGTATATCATGTTGCGTTATGACGAGTGAGACTCGGCTCAGTGTCAATTCCTATTACTTGAGGTAAAGTCTCTTAAAGCTCTCGATTATGAACCGCAGTCTTAAGTCTGCATCGTGCACGTTCAAATTGTGAATTTAATATTTTTAATATGTAATGACAATGACGCAAGAGAGAAGTGATAAGTGTGTATGCTCGGTTAGCCATATGATTTTCTCTATTTATGTGAAAAAAAAGAGAGTTGGGACAAAAATGAGAATGAGAGGTTGTTAGGCCATATGATTTTTACCAAATTGGATTTTGTGCTACGCAACGCAACCAATCCAAACGCCTCGCATCCAAATTGCTGTCACCGCCAATAGCATTCATTCTTCTTCCATTTTCCAACAGTTCCTTCTCATCGCAAGAGCGGATTTCCGGCAGCAATTCGTTCAACTAAGGTAACCTTCTTCTTCTTCTTCTTCTTCTTTGATTTGTTCCTCTCTGCGTGTGAATGTGATTTCAGTTCTTCTGTGACATGGAATTACATTCTGTTCTTCTTTCCGGAGGAAACGATTTCGATTTCCTAATATTTAATGCGATTCATGAACTCGACTAATTAACTGAATAGATTCCTTTTTCTTTGTCTCGATTTCTGCATTGATTTTGAATTGACTGTAATTAAATCAGATTTCCGTGTAGGAGTTCGTTAATTTCAGAGAATATGACAGAGCCGCCATTGAAACCTGTTCTCCAGAAGCCTCCGGGGTATAAAGAACTGAATCTCGCTGCTCAGCCGGTGGTAAGACCGTCGGCGAGGAAACTGATTCTTCCTTCGCCGATGAACCAGAAGAACAAGAAGCGACGGAGCTTCTGCCGTAGATGCTGTTGTTTCCTCTGCTTTTTCCTTCTGGTCCTGATCGTTGTGGTTGTCGCCGCTGGTGGAGTTTTATACCTCTGGTTTGAGCCAAAACTCCCCGTCTTTCATCTCCAATTATTCCGAATCTCGAAATTGAACGTCACCGACAAATCGGACGGCTCGTATCTAAACGCGAGAACACTCGGTCGTATCGAAATCAAGAACCCTAACTCGAAGTTATCACTGAATTACGGCGATATCGAGATCAAAATCGCCGCTGGAGAAGGAACTCAAACTGAATTAGGATCAACGATTTTGCGAAGCTTTGTTCAATCTACTGAGAACAAGACGAGTTTGAAGATCGAAACTATAGTCAGCAATGAAACAGTGGACAGCGGAGCGGGCCGGAAATTGATCTCCGGCAACCGGACCGGCGAGTTAATAGTGAACGTCGGAGCACAGACGAAAATCGGTTATATGGTGAATGGTCGGAGAATGCTGCCGGTGAAGATCGAAGTGACGTGCGGAGGCGTGAGGTTGAAAAGTCTCATCAGAGGCGACATGCCGAAATGCTCCATCCATTTGCGCCGATGGTTTCTGTAACCAAAAAAGGGAAAAAAAAAAAGAAAAAAAAAAGAAAATTAAATCAATTAAATTAAATTTGGTAATTACAGTGGGATTAAACTTTATAAAACACAGAAAAGTTGATGCGATTTGTTACCATAGAAAACAAAATAGGTATTATTTTGGCCTCATTTTTTGATAACCTTTTGATTTGATTTTATCATCTTGTTTGGAAAATAAATTTGTTTATATGAAATGAAATTATATTATATCTCAATTTTTATGATAAAATTATATTATCTCTACCTTGTCATGTGCGAAAACCTCGCCGATATTTAATGAATGAAAACGGACAACATTTACTTGCAGTTGGCTTAGATTGTTACAAATGGTATCAGAGCTAGTCATTAAAGATTGCAAACGAGGACGTTAGGCCCCCCAAAGAGAGTGGATTATGAGATCTCAGGGGAACAAATCGTTAGCTATAAGGGTGTGGAAACCTCTCCCTGGAAGACGCGTTTAAAATTCGACTATATGATTTATATATTTCAACAACGTTGGAATCATAAATTTGAATATATGATTTTTAGAATACTCAGTATAACCCGAGAGTATACTACCAATTTTTAAAAATTATTTTGGTTCTCGATGTTCAGGGTGAGTGTCCGTTTACTTTCTAAAATTTTAAAATATACACTTGTCCATCGAGATTTGAAGAATATTCTATATGGTCCCTTAAAATTTGAAGAATATTCTAACGAGTGCCTCAAGATCTGAAACCTACTTTGTACTACATTCTTAGACAACTAGTCGTCACCAGAATTAGATACACATTAACCCTAAATCTCACAATAAAAATGTTAAATATAAATTTTAAAAAAGGAAAAAAAAAATCGGATTAAATTAAAGGTATATCAAATAACGAAGTTATAATTATTTTTCTTGATTACTTTTAATTCTAATCTTGTATGGAATATACAATTAATATTTAAAAGTAAATATTTAAAGTTAATATATTAAATAGTTGATTTTTTTTTTTTAATTTAATTTTTAGTTGAACTGGTTGGTGTATTACTATTTTAGATTTAAGGGTAATAAATGAACAATTATTTAAAGTTGGACTAAGACTGCTATTATGGGATTTTGTTGGGTGTGTTAAATATTTATTTTTGGTGGAATATCACATTCAATATTGAATTTTGGTGCTTGGATTTTTAGTTAGGTTTGGGTATGATTGAATCTTTGATTTAGATGTTTTGTTTACGATGTTAATCTTTTTTATTTTTTTTATTACCAAGGTTAAATTAATAAAATTATTCCTAAATTTTCAAAACATATATAAAAAATTATCTTTAAAATAGTTTGTATTTTATTTTTTAAAAAAATTAGGTTGAATTTTAAAAAATTTTATTAATAATTTTTAACTTTTAAAAATGTGCAAACTACGGTTCTTTTTTTCCGAGTAATATTAACACCTTTTATCTTTTTAAAAAAAGGTTAACAAAAAAATATAGCTGAGAATGTGTGGACGAAAATTGTCTATCTATCCCACAAATTATTTTCAAACATTTTAATGTTACTTTTAAAAGGTAATACGGTATTGAATATTATTTATTTATTTTTTAAAATTTTACAAGTGTTTTTAATTTTTTAAAAAAATTTAAAAGTATTTTAAAGTTTTTTTTAATTAAAATTATTACTCAAATTTTTGAAAATTTGTTTTTTTGAAATAAAGTATTAATAGTTTAAGTATATTTTAAATTTTTTTAAAAAAATTAAAAAGGTAAAAATTTCTTTTTTTTTTTTATTTAAAGATAATATTGCAACTTTTTGAAGTGTTTTTTAGATGAAAAACAAAATTCAAAGATATTTTTTTTTATTAATTTAACGTATTTTTAAAGTTTTATTATTATTATTATTTGATGAGACATGAAAGAAAGATGTATTTTAATCCATCATATTTATTTGATTAACAAAATAAAAAAAGGGAAGAAAACTGTAACCACGAGGACAAAATTTACTCAAGTTTGTCTAACAAACGCATTTTAAAATTGTGAAGTTGATGTCGATATGTAACGAACCAAAGTCATATTTGCGGGTGTTTGAACTGTTACAAATTGTACTAGAGCCACGAGATTGGCCAAACTTGTCTCTTAAAAGTGTAGGTCAAAATTCAATCTAGACTCGAACCTAATAAACTTAAAACACTGTATGAACCAAGTCATTGACCCAACTGTAGATTGGATCAAAATTTGGACTGAATTGAGTAAGTCAACACATACTTTGATAGCATGGACTAACCTTAGATGATCAAATTGTTGAGTTGAAATAAATTGAATCAATTAAAATTTGAATTAACGGAGTTTGAATTGAATCAGAATTAATTTTGATAAACTATTAGACTATAGATTCGTTAACGAGAGTGAGTTACACCAGGCCCATTAAAAATATAATAATAATAAAACTTAGAACAACAAATTACATCACCTTATAAACAACAATGAATTACATTAATTTTATGTCGGCCTAAGACTAAAGGTCATTTTACAAAGTTTTTATTTTAAGAAAATTTAATTTTTAATTAATTTCAGAAATTCTAAAGTAACTATCATTAAGGAAATGAAAAAAAAAAAAAAAAAAAAGAAATATTAAAGTAACAGATCCCATCAGATTCTGATGGGATTCGAATCCTACCTTCGGCATTATTGAAATAATAATAATAATAATAATATAATTATTCCTAAAATGCTGTTTTTTTTTTTTAATATTTTTAAATTTTGGAAAAAGTGCGCGCTGCGTCCTTTGTTTCCCTGCATACCACATTTCGATTGTTTTCTTCCTCAGTTTTCTCGTCGGAGAGGCCTCTCTCGGCTACCGTCCATGGCGTCGAAACGGATCCTGAAGGAGCTCAATGATCTCCAGAAAGATCCTTCTACTTCCTGCAGCGGTGGTTTAGTATTCTTTCTACTCTTGTTCCTTTTTACTATCTCTATATTTTTTTTTAACTTTCTAATATTGGTCTAGTGATTACGTTTTTCATCGGTTATTGGAGACTCCGAGCAACTTCATTGTTGTTATTTTATTTGGAAATTAAGTGGATCGAAATGTTTGTTTGAGGATTGCGTGAAAAAGTAACAACTCTGAAATTCAATTATCATATTTTGTAATTATCTAAGTAGGCGGAGGTCTACGAAAGTCGATTTTGGAGTTCTTAGCACTAACTTGCATTCTCAATTTAGGGAATGATGTTGGAGGAAAGTTTTCCATCCCCTAGGGATGATCATGGATTTTTATTGAGGAATACTATCTTCATTGATATGAAATTTTTTTGGGGAAGCACAAATCAAAGTCATGAGAGCTTATGTTCAAAGTAGAATATCATACCAGGAGAGTCGTGTTCATCTAACATGGTATCAGAGCCATACCCTAAACTTAGCTATGTCAATAGAATCCTCAAATGTCGAACAAAAGTATTGTGAGCCTTGAAGGCATTGTAAAAAATGACTAAGACTCCAAAAGAAAAAGTAGTCGAGCCTCGATTAATGGGAGGCGTACTTTGTTTGAGGGGAGGTGTTGGATGAAAGTCTCCCATATTGGCTAATTTAGGGAATGATCACGGGTTTATAATCAAGGAATACTATCTCTGTTGGTATGAGGTCTTTTGGGAAGTTCAAAGCAAAGCCATGAGAACTTATGCTCAAAGTGGAAAATATCATACCATTATGGAGAGTCGTGTTCATGTTATAATGTTATAATTAGCTGATTATGCGAATGTCTAGAAAATCGGTTTTGGAGTTCTTAGCATTGACTTGCATTCTCAATTTTGTGGTTTACGCGTAGGATATGGTTTAATTTGGCTCTTCTCTAAACAATTCATCGTATTCCGGAATGGAATTCGGTAATATGGAAACTGAATCGTGTATTAGAGTTTGATTTATTTGTATATGTTAAGCTTATTGAAGCAAGGTTCTATTGAGTCGAAAACTATAGATACCGGTGCATTTTGGCTTATGGATCTTTTTGACTTTAGTTCTCTATACTATAAAGAATTGATTCTATGAATTTTCACGTTTTAAATCATAGTTGTTTTTTAATTGAGCTAGACTCAGAACAGTATAACAGCTTAAGATTTGAGTAGTCAACACTTTCAATTCACTTGGACTTCGTAAATTTCTATAGCCCGTTACCATATGTGGTTCTTGTTTTATTAATTATTCTAATGTCTGTAATATGTGTGTTGTCACTGTTTTTATTACTTATTTGATTAATAACTCAGTAAGTCAGTGCTAGAAGTTATTTTCACACTTCCTGAGCTAAACAGTTCAGTTATGACCACCTAAAGGCCATAAAGTGTTTGACTGGGAAAATAGTATAACATTTGGTATCCAAAAATTATATTTTTTGGTAGATGTATTGACCACCTAAAGGCCACATTTTACGCATCCAAAAAAGCTCATATTTTAATACTTAAGGTATAAACCACACATCACATTGGATGTTATTGATAATTTTCTGCACATTTTTCATGTAAATTGATTTAGATGTTATCGTTGTCAAATAGGCTTATTGCCTATTTTACCATAGTAGCACTATCTTTAACTAAATGTGAAAACTAGATTTGGGGAAAATAAGTGTAGTGACTTGATTAAGGTGAAAATTTAACTTAACCAGAGATATGTCTTCTTAGGTTCTTTGACACCCATTGGTGGATGGAGCTCCCTTGTTCTTGATTTTGGAATGCTATAGTGTAAATCTTGGAAGTTTATCTCTTAATTTCAGGAATATTATGATATTTCAATTTCCAGGTAGCTTTCGACTGGGCAGCAAATATTTTATTCTCGTGTGGGGAGGTCATCCATTTAAAAGAACGACCGACTATCAAGGTCACTTCAGGGGTAGATGGGGTTTTTAATGCAATGTTGAGATCGTATTTCTTATGTTGTTTCTTCTAGGAATGGTTTTGATTGGGTTGTGTGCTAATTGGAGACTGTTTTTGCATCCGTCATTGGCTATCGTGGGGGATGGAGTCTTTTCTTTCTCTTCTCTTCTGTTTTCCTTCTTCCTTGATAAATTTTTTAGTTTTGTGAGATTGTATGATTATTGCTATGTATCATTTATTATGTCACGGGAGTCCTTACCTACAACCTTTTACATTGCTTCAGTTTATCATTTGTCTAGGTTGCTTTCAGGACAAAGGTTTTTCACCCAAACATTAACAGTAACGGTAGTATTTGCTTGGACATCTTGAAGGAGCAATGGAGTCCAGCTTTGACTATATCAAGGGTTTTGACTTCTCAATGACAATTTTAACATTCAACTCCTAGATGTTTGAATTTTATATATGTGCCTCTTTTACACGATGGCTTTGGTTCAAATTCTTTGAGTTGCCTGTTGATCAACATTTACAATTTTATTGCTTAACTAGGGAATCAAGGCACTAAGATGATATGCATACCTGTTGATCAACATTTACAATTTTATTGCTTAACTAGGGAATCAAGGCACTAAGATGATATGCATATATTAAAGAGAAAAAAAAAAAAAAACCCATTATGTTGATATAATTTCGTTCATGGTACTCAGTCATACTGATGTAGTAATGTGATGGCAATTATACTTTAGTGTTCAACCCTCTGAACAGTTGTCACATTTCATGTCATCTTTATTTTATGACAATATTTCTCTAATTATAGTAATAGTCATCAATCCAAATTATAGTGAAGCCATCAGGACATAAAAAATTTAAATCCAAGAACGTGTTATGTGAAAACACTGCTAAGCAAACAACTTCCATCAGGACATAAAAAATTTAAATCCAAGAACGTGTTATGTGAAAACACTGCTAAGCAAACAACTTAGACCAACTGCTGAGAAAGTATTATTGCAACCATATATGGAGCATATAAAATGCACACATGTTGCTCTTGGGTGACAGCATGATATCCTGGTTAGATTTCATTTTTATGAAATTTTTACTGTAAACTTATGAGGGTTACTTATCATATGATATCCTGGTTAGATTTCATTTTTATGAAATTTTTACTGTAAACTTATGAGGGTTACTTATCATTTGAGTAGTGCAATGGGTATCAAGGGGTCACTGGCCAATGTTGACACAGGGACACCATGGTGTGTTTTCTGAGAAAGTCTATTGTCCTCCGCCAAAAATCCAGCCATTTTCTAATGATATATAGTGTAGTGTTTTCTGAGAAAGTCTATTGTCCTCCGCCAAAAATCCAGCCATTTTCTAATGATATATAGTGTAATGCAACTTATTCTAGAATATTGAATCGTTGTCTGCTCTTCAGCATCTTTGGCTAACATTATTGAGAATACATAGTGATTGTCAATCATTTTCTGCATATCCATTTCACTTTTTTCCTAGCTTCGATTAATTATTCAGTTTTTAAATGGTTGGGAAGGGTTTCTGTTTCATATTCAGGTGTTACTTTCTACTTGCTCCCTTTCGACAGTTAAATGGTTGGGAAGGGTTTCTGTTTCATATTCAGGTGTTACTTTCTACTTGCTCCCTTTCGACAGATGCCAACCCAGATGATCTACTAGAGCCAGAAATTTCTCATCTATACAAGACCGATAGGGCCAAGAATGAGACAACTACAAGGAGCTGGACTAAAAAAATATGCGATGGGCTCGTTTGTATTATGGGACAAGAATGAGACAACTACAAGGAGCTGGACTAAAAAAATATGCGATGGGCTCGTTTGTATTATGGGAAGGGTACGAGGGATGTCACTGTTGGTTCTCATGTATAAATGAAAAGTTTCTGTACTATATACTATTATGAGTGATCGGGATGTCACTGTTGGTTCTCATGTATAAATGAAAAGTTTCTGTACTATATACTATTATGAGTGATCTAAATAATTCTATGTCGTTCAATTTAAAATCAACATGATGCTTTAAGTTCATATTCGACTAATACATATCAATTATATGGATTTGATTTCGTACAGCTCCATGACCTGTGGATCTTAATCCTAGATTTATACATATCAATTATATGGATTTGATTTCGTACAGCTCCATGACCTGTGGATCTTAATCCTAGATTTCAAGCCAGTGAAGAAACTATCTCGCATCATGGCTTCTTATGGATGATGGAGGATAAAGGCGGAAAATGGGCCAGAGCGCCGAGCTGCTCCAATTGTATTTCCACCCCCACTTGAATTCTGAGGGTATGTGATCTTTCCCATCGTCTAAAGTTTGTCCATTCATTGTGTCAACTGCCTTTCATTTCTTGCTTGGATCTAGACATTTTTCTTTAGAAATTGAGAAACTATTTGTACTATTTTTGCTGCAAACGAAGAGGATAATACTAGTGGGGTGGGCTGGAGAGCAGGGATCTACATAACCGAGACCTTAGTCAACAATAAAACACTAGGAAAGCTTCATAACTCTTTCCCACTGAAAAGCAGACAGTACTTGCTTAGTCAACAATAAAACACTAGGAAAGCTTCATAACTCTTTCCCACTGAAAAGCAGACAGTACTTGGATCTAGATTTTTATGGTAAGGAAAACCCATATGTTCTTGGATATCGGACTTCTTTTTTTGCACAGAACTTCGATCTAGATTTAAGTTGAGCTTAATATAGCTCTAGATAATAGTAGTTTTAAGCACAACTCGGTTGACTAATAAAAAATCGAATGGAGTTTCGATTGTTCCAAAATTCTTGTGATGTAAGCACAACTCGGTTGACTAATAAAAAATCGAATGGAGTTTCGATTGTTCCAAAATTCTTGTGATGCTTATCCTCAGCCAATTCAAATGGAAATCAAAACTGAAAGAAAACGTCTCGACATTGTGTTGTGGTAGTGGACAAATTTGGATGAAATGTCTGCTTCTTCCACCTTCCATTCCCAAGTCAATTTATTATAATCTCTCTCTTTCTATATCAATAGAAATAGATTAAGGGCTGCAATTTGGTTGACATAGAAAGTGGGACAATTCCTACATCCTATTCCCAATAAGAATGAAATTATTAAATGTTGTGTTGTCCTTTGGTATGCTCAAGTTGGTTTTGCCATCTCTTCAACTTATCTTCGAACGTAGGTGGACATGAACTTCACCTCAGATTTCCCTTTCGGACAATAATTGTCCGAAACTATTCATCTTCTTGAAAACTTAAATTCTAAGGCACATAATATCCATCACCCTGCCAATTCTGCCAACAACAGGGTTATTACGTGCTCTGTTGGTTTGGTTTAAGTTCCCCCATCACCCTGCCAATTCTGCCAACAACAGGGTTATTACGTGCTCTGTTGGTTTGGTTTAAGTTCCCTTGGACCATTACCCAACACGGGGGCTAGCATAGGTCTATTAGTAGTTAAATCACTAATCAATCAAAAAGTTTAGTAGATGGATTATTATAAATTTAATCCTATCAACATTTTAATTGTTAAGAGTATGTTATCCATCCATAGAGTATAAGGTCAAATTCTCCAACCCAAAGTACTAGAACAAAGTATAATTTGTCCCAACTTCGAGATTAAAAGAAGTCAAGAGCCTAATCATTTGATTTGATTTTCTTTTCTTTTCTTTTCTTTTTTTATAGACGGCCTAAAAAATTGTGCCAAAATGAAATTCAACATGGAAACCTTATGTCAATGTCTAAGAAATATTATTTTTATTTCATCTCTAGTTTTCTTCCCCTCTCACTTTACCTCTTCTCCCTTCATTTTAATGGGCTTTTCGACAGAGCAACAACCTCATTTAGCTATGACATTTTTGATTGCTTCGTCTAAGGTTGCCATTAAAGATGAAGATGAAAAAGAAGAGTAGAGACTTTCTATATCATATGGATCAAACTTCCAAAAATTCTCTAGTAACAAATTTGCATACGCTCTTGTCTCTCATTCTTGTTAGTCTCTCTCGTTCTTGTTGGTCTCCTCACCTGTCTTTGGACCTAAGTGTTTTCAATTTTAGAAATTGAGTCATAGCCAAAAAAAAAAAAAAAAGAAAAAAAAATTAAATTAGTTGTGGGCAGTGCTCTGAATCTGATCAGGTGTTTGGATCTTGTCTACAGCTTCATTAAATCCAAAAAAAAATGGAAAATCACGTGAAGAAAATGAATATTTGTGATAACATCTAATGAGAATGAAAGTTCCTTTAATGTCTTGGCCTCACATTCTTGACCCAAACCAAATAATGTCTACTAATTATCTGTTTATATAGGAGAAAAAAAAAACCTCACATTCTTGACCCAAACCAAATAATGTCTACTAATTATCTGTTTATATAGGAGAAAAAAAAAAAAAGAAAAACATATCGAAACCACTACTGTCTGATCAAATACGCGGCGACTCTTAATCTTTCAAATTTATACTTAATTAATAATCCTTATTACTTTTTAAAAATTCCTCGCAAAAAGAAAAAGGACAGACCTTTTATACTTAATTAATAATCCTTATTACTTTTTAAAAATTCCTCGCAAAAAGAAAAAGGACAGACCTCTCCTATAAAACCGGCCCTCTTGCTTTCCACTACTCTGCTCAGACACTGAACCTTCTCTTCTTTTCATAAGCTTAGAGAGCCATCAAATTTGAGTCTCCATTAATGGGTCGAGTTTGTTCCGGCGGAATTAGGTTCAGAGAAATTCGAACCACCACCCACAAACCGGCGACGGAGACCAAATTGGTTCGAATTTCGTTCACCGACGGCGACGCCACCGATTCCTCGAGTGGGGAAGACGAAGAGACAATCTCCATCCGCCACGTCAAACGCCATGTGACTGAGATCAGGCTTCTCACTCGTAGTTCCAAAAAATCGCCGCTGAAATCGGGAGCTGAGCCATGTGACTGAGATCAGGCTTCTCACTCGTAGTTCCAAAAAATCGCCGCTGAAATCGGGAGCTGATCCGCTGCGTAACTCGAAGTGTCATAGAAAGTTCCGGGGAGTTAGGCGACGGCCGTGGGGGAAATGGGCTGCCGAAATCAGAGACCCTTTCCGGCGGACTAGAGTTTGGCTTGGAACCTACGACACGCCGGAGGAAGCTGCCGTCGTGTACGACCAAGCCGCCGTCCGCCTTAAAGGCCCCAACGCTCTAACAAATTTCGCCGAAGCTCCCAATTCCAAAAGTACCGTTGCCACACATTTCACTCCGCCGCCGCTGGCTGTGGCGATTTCCGATAGAGAAGAATCTCGGAGTCTGTGCCACACATTTCACTCCGCCGCCGCTGGCTGTGGCGATTTCCGATAGAGAAGAATCTCGGAGTCTGTGCTCTCCGACTTCCGTTTTGAGATTAGAAGAACAAATTTGGAGACCCATTGAGCATGTAAGCGAAGAGTCAGCATTAGAAATGGAATTAAATTGGTTATATGATCGGAATTCCAACAGTTTGTTGTTCAATTCAAGAAGCCCACAGCCCATAAATTCCGACGAAATGGAAGATTTCGGCGACATTCCGATGGATTTCGAATCATGCAAATGGGACGTAGAGAATTATTTTCAAGATCCAACCTTTAGTATTTCACTCACTCACTGACAGACTGACAAATTCGCTATCTTTTTTATTTTATTTTATTTATTTTGTTATTATTAAAATTTAAAATTTGGTTCCCTTTAAATTTGTATTCTAACATATGTTTTATTTATGAGCTTTTTATTTTTTTTTGGAGTGAAGTTCCCTTTAAATTTGTATTCTAACATATGTTTTATTTATGAGCTTTTTATTTTTTTTTGGAGTGAAGCTGTATTGTATGGAAATAGAATAGTGAAGGTTAAACTTTATGTAATCAACTTTTTCTAAATTTGATATATATTTCAATAAATGTGGCTAAGTTCATACCTCTATTTGAGTGTCTAAATACTTTATTCTCTTTCATTTTTGCCTTTTGAATTTTGACTAACAAATTTAATAGTGTATTTGAATTTTGAAACATAAAATAAAGAAATTAAGTTCAATTTGATTATCATAATTTAGTTAAACCCTATCAATCATTTATATACACGCCATTGCTATATTTTCTATTTAAATATCTAGGTTAATTTATCGTATTAATATCTGCTAGCGGTGAGTTTAGACCGTTATAAATAGTATCAAAGTTAGACATCGGGTGATGTGCCAAAGAAGAGGTTAAATCTCGAAGGAGGTAGATTGGGAGTCCCACATCGATTGGATAAGGGAACGAGTGCCAGCAAAGATGTTGGGCCACGAAAGGGATAGATTGTGAAATCCCACATTAGTTGGAGAGGGGAACGAAACATTCTTTCTAGGGGTGTGAAAACTTATCTCTAATAGACTTGTATTAAAACTGTGAGGCTGACAACGATACTTAACGGGTCAAAACAGACAATATCTACATGTGAGTTTGGGCTGTTACAGAAGTAGAAAATAGTTCAATAATGATTTGAACCGACTGGAATCGTCAAATTAGAAATTAAGATGAAATCGATAGATTTAAAACCAATTTTAATGAAGAAAATGGGACTCACCAAATTTGAGTTATGGAATCAAGCATGAAATCGTTACCCGATGCAAGTTGTAGGCAAGCTTTCGACCCTCTAAATTTCAATGCAATGCACATCTATCATGGTTAGGTTTTGAAATAAATGTTATATTGTTGGAAAATAATTTAGCCCTCTAACAGAAGACAACTTGTACGAGGTTTCTTGTGGTCCCACATTTTATTTCCTTTTATTTTTTTTAATTCATATTTGTACCAATTTTGAAGTCCAATTACTCACTACTATTCATTTGGTTGGTTATTTTATAAATGGTTGAATATTCTATTCAGTTTCGTTGTCTTGTTATTCGTCAGCTAGATATGCTCGTATACTCCTACCTACGAAAGGCCCAAATGTCAAATGTTAGTGTTCGAGGGCATAATTTGGAACGTCAACTAGAAAATGTGCTTGTGTACTAGTTCTCGAAGATGAAGTATCGATGAATTTCTTATATGCTTAGCACAATAAATACTCCCGTTGAATAAAACTCATGGTCTTGAATAACACCTATCTAGAGATCTTGCTTTCGAGCCTTCAGCTAAGTTTATTGAGAGACGATTGATGTTTCAAACATCTAGCTTTTTGTGACAAGCGTGGACTTAAAAAAAGAAGTTAAGATCTAATGAGTTGGATTTGACCTTTGATCGAAGTACACCGAAACTTAGGTGAGCTCGCTTAGCTTGTAGTAGTCAATGCACGTGATAACCATTCATTAAAACTTGGTAGGTTTTATTGGATTCCTCCAAGTTCAAAGAAGAGAAAAAACAACAAATCGAATAGGAATTTAATTCCTTTAGTTTTTACAATTCTGGGTAGTTTAGGTTTTTTCGAACTCAGTTTCTTTGCAATTTTATGTAATTTAGGTTGCATGGTTAAAATCATTCGAGCTTAAGATGATCGATCTTGCTTGTGGAGTGATTCAAATCTCAATCAAAAGTTCTTATCGTGTAATATTTGATCGACAAAGTCATTCAAATCCTACCTCGGCAGAAAAAACCATTCCTTGGTGGATCGACACATCGCAGCACTGATTCTTGTGCGGGGATTGTTCTGTCCTTCCCAACACCTTTTACAGCCTATCTCTCAGTCTCACTGTCCTTTAAAGCCTCTCAAATCACTCCCAATATTAACTCAACAACACCAATAAGTTGAAGGACTAATAACTAATATCAAACAACCACCACTACTTTAGTATGCATTCGTCTCTTTAGATCGAAGATTCAAATTTTCATGTCCGTCTTTGAGAGGATAATATTTAACTAATTATTAACCACCATGGATTAGTCTGATCAAGAATTAAAAGTTTAACTATTTATAATTTTAATATCCTACCATTCTGACAGTTTTTTTACAAAATTAGTCGAACTGTGAATGTTTGATTAATCCACCACTCTTAAATGGTGTGAAAGTTATCTTATTTATAATCAAATGAATTACAAGGATATGGAAATAGTAATAAATGAAAATAACAATAAATGGAAAGATACCTATGATAATAAGGCAAATATTTATATTTGCCTTATAATAAAATATCAAATATAATATATATGGTAAACTATAATTTATTACTAAATATCTTTAACACGAATAATGACAGTTTTCTTATATATATAATTTTAGAATAATTTATAAAAGGTTAATAATTATTATGTTTGTTTAAATATTATTCTTTTTTATTTATTTATATTAGAGGATGAAAACAAAAAAAATAAGATAATAGTTTATTTTAAATTAATTTCGGAGGGTACCATAATATCTAACGTTAATATACCTACTTTAATTATATGCTATTTATAAAGTACAAAAAGGTGTTTGTGTAACGGGCATATTTAATTGATCTTTTTTTTTAATGGTCAAATCAGTTTATTTATTAAATGGCCAATTACTAAATTTAGAGAGCATTGTACAAAACTACCCCTAATGTCAAATATAGTATCTAGAGATAATATCAAATAATAAAACGGAATTTCTCAAGAATTAAACTAATAAATAAATAAATCTCAAGGATTAAAAAAAAAAAAACATCTTAATGACAACTTAAAAAAGAAAAAAAATCAAAAATTAGGGCAAATCATAAGTCACACAAATACACAAATACTTTGTATTGGCACAGAGAATCTATTGAAAATATATTTATTTTTATGTATTTTTTTCTTTAGATAATTTTGGTTTTCGTTCTTTTCACACTTGATTTCATCTTTACTATCATCTTAATATAGAACAATCGTTGTGTCGTAAAAAAATATTTGAATACATCAAAATTAAGATCGTTGATGAGTGAAATCATCACACGATTAAATGAACCATAATGAAGGCAACTTGATTCATCCAATCGTTTCTAGGAACCACAAATGAAAGCATAAAATTGAAACTAATTCAACAAGTTTATAAACAATTCAATAAATCTTTAGGTAGTTTTATACCTTTGACATGAAAAGATAATAAGTAAACTAAATTAACGAACTCAAAAAGATTTAATTTTTGAATTAAAAATAGATACTAAATTTATGTGTATATGTTATCAAAATTAATAATTAAACATTTATGTACTTAAATATAAAAGATTAAGATATAATAAAATAATAGATAAATATGTTAACTTTTTATTCGAGCAAATATTACTAATATTGTAAATGAAAATTGGTTGGAGCTCCACAATTTCACACAATAGTTTATATCACTGTAGAAGAGAGAGCCCAATTCGTGTGCCTCTTCGATTTCATTCTGATCTAAATGCCTCAATTTTCTTTCTCGTTCATCGAAATTCGTATACCCATCTTCCCATCAATCTCGGGCCTCCGAGAAAGATGAAGATATGGTGGGGTTGAAGCCAAATTTACGACATGCTCAATTTTGAGCATAAGCTCTTATGACTTTACTTTTGGTTTTTCCAAAATGCCTCAGAGATATATTCCTTACTTATAAAAGCCACGAGCATCCACTTAATTAGCCAATGTGAGGCTCCCTCCCAATAATCCTCCCCTCAAACAAAATATACCATAGAGTTTCCTCCCAGGCCCCTATGTAACTCTCAAACAGCTTCCTCTTAATCAAGATTTGACTCCTTTCTCTAAAATCCTCAAACAAAATACACTTTTTGTTTGACACTGAAGTCACTTTTGACTACACCTTTAAGGCTACCAACTTCTTTGTTCGACACTTGATGATTCAATTAACATGTTTAAGTTAAAGGCACGACTCTGGTACTATGTTAGAAACTACGACCTCCATAATAATATGATATTATCTACTTTGAGTATAAGCTCTCAGTGACTTTGTTTTTTTGTTGCCCAAAAAGTCATTCCCTTAGTTAGCCAATGTGAGACTCCCTCCTAAAAATCCTCAACAACTTCACCATTCTAATACTCTCCGATGCCGCCCTTTCGGAGGCTCCGCCCTTTCGGCGGCTGGAGCCTCCGTTCTTTCTGCCATCCTCGTTAATTCATCCCTTCGACATTTCGTCTTTGTGAAGTGTTTGCTTTCCCTTAACTCTCAAGCTTGAAACTCAGCCTAACATATATAATTAAAACCGTTCACATCATGTGGTTGAGGTCTGAGATGATGGCTAGGAATGTTTCTATGGCCTGACATCTCGACCCTAGTTCGTTCACTTAATTCTTAGTTTAAAAGAATCTAGAACAAATTTTCTTCCCTCATCATCGACCCTAGTTCGTTCACTTAATTCTTAGTTTAAAAGAATCTAGAACAAATTTTCTTCCCTCATCAAAATAAAACGTTTTATTTGGTTGTTAGCTGGTGTTTCTTTTGCAGAGAACAAATGGCTAGGAATGTTCCTTTTGCAGAGAGATCTTGAAAGGGCATTTGGGATGAATACGAGAACAACTCCGGCAGAAATTTGGAGGTAAGTAGTAGCAATCTTAGTACCAGGGTTTCCATTACCATTATCATTACTAGTTATTCTTGGAGTTGAACACGAGTTTCATTATGCTTAGACACAATGTGTTTGATTTTTTATTACTAGTTATTCTTGGAGTTGAACACGAGTTTCATTATGCTTAGACACAATGTGTTTGATTTTTTATCAAAATTTCATACACTGAAACCGTTTACTTTGAGACAGGGATGGAGAATTGAAAGGGATGTTTACAGGAATTGATCCCTCCATC